TGAGTTTCGTCGCCACTTCAACATTCATCGGAATAGAGCTGTTCCCTCTCGAAACACCATCCTTCGTTGGGTTGAATCACTTCGCAGGCGTGGTGAACTGATCAACAGAAGACCAAGAGGAGCGTCGCGAACAGTTCGAACTCCTGAAAATGTTGAACGCGTTCGACAGGTCTTTCTTCGCAATCCGACTCGATCTGCCCGGAAACATGCTGCTGCACTTCGGCTTAGTGATCGTTCGGTAAGGCGAATTTTGCAAATGGATCTCCGCTTACACCCCTACAAACTGGCCATTGTGCACCAGTTGACAGCCTGGAGATTATGCACAACGAATGAACTTCGCACGTGAGATGGAAGCACTGATCGATCAAAATGAGAACCTCATTTTGTTTATGAGTGACGAAGCCCACTTTCACCTAAACAGCATGGTTAACCAGCAGAATTCTCGTTATTGGGCTAATGAAAATCCGCAACAGTTACACGAAAGATCGCTGCACAGCCCAAAACTTGCATCATTAGCACTTACTTCTTCGAAGACGGTAATGGTCGTGATGTTACCGTGATGTTACCGTGAACTCGACATGATCACCAACATCTTTCTCCCTGAATTACGACGGCGACGTGTTCCAATCAGACGTGTGTGGTTCCAGCAGGCCTCTCTTCCGTGGTCGCCTTATTTCCAGGTGTGGCGATGTTCATTGGCCTCCTCGGTCCCCAGATTTATCTATATGTGATTTTTTCTTATGGGGACATCTCGAGGCTAGAGTATACGCGAACAAGCCCCGAACTCTGGACGAATTGAAGGGCGAAATTCGCGTGGAAGTCGCCCAAGTTGAGAGAGCGATGTTGGAGAGAGTCTACGCGAACTTCCAAGAACGCCTCCAGCACTGAATTAACGATTTCGGCCACCACATGCCTGATGTGATTTTCCACACTTGACTGTCTCAAATGCTATTTCCTTGTGAACCCGATTCCATCAATAAATTTGTTTTCGAGTAAAAATTAACTATTTTATGATTTTTTTAAAACCGTCCATCCTCTCTGCCGCACCCTGTATTTATCAGGATAACAGAAACGCAAGGGGGTAATACTTTGCTTTCGATGTTAAGGCGAGAAAAGCGGACCTCTCAATGGTTCTGCAATCCTGATACTATCCTCATCAATAAAAAAAATCTTGTACTAGCAGTATTCTCAACTACTTTTGGCGAATACTCAATAGGATGACAGAAATGAGCGGAGGTAGTGCTGAGCTTTCAATATAAACGCGGGAAAGCCAAGCAGCATGGTTCTGCGACCCACTTATTATTTTCATCAATGACGAAGTTCTTGTATCAGCAGCATATTCAAGTTTTTTCGATGAAGATTCATCAGGATAGCAGAAACGCAAGGGGTAGTATTTTGCTTTCGATGTCATGGCAGGAAAACCAAACCTCTCGCTAGTTCTCCATCCTGATCCTATTCTCATCAATAACAAAATCTTGGACTAGTAGCATCCCCAAGTATTTTTGACGAATATTCATTAGAATGGCACAAGCGCGGGGATGTAGTTCTGTGCTTTTAATATAGAGGCGGGAACGCTAAGCCTTTAGCATGGTTCAGCGACCCTGTTACTATTTTCATCCTTGACAAAGTGTTTATTGTATCCGCAGCATATTTAAGTTCTTTCGACGAAGTTTTATCAGCATAGCAGACACCCAAGGGGATAGTACTTTGCCTTCGATGTCAAGGCAGAAAAACCAAACCTCTCGCTAGTTCTGCAATCCGAATATACTATTCTCATAAATCTTGTTTTAGCAGCATCTCCAAGTATTTTTGACGAATATTTGTTGGGATTGCAGAAGCGCGGGGAGGTTACTTCCTATGTACTTTCAATATAGAACAGGGAAAGCTACACCTGTTACTCTTTCGACGAAGGTTGATTAGGATAGTAGAAATGCGAAGTGTTATTACTTTGTCTTGGATTTAAAGACAGAGAAGCCACACCGTCACTGGTTCTGCAATCTGATAAATCCAGAAAAACTCGAACCATACCAGCAACATCTGCAAATTCTTCTGACAAGACGCGAAAATGTGTACTTTACTCTCGTGCAAGTGAATGGTTTTGTGATTCTAAAACTAAATTCGTGATATTACAACCTCATATCTCGCCAACTTTTCCTTACAGGCTCCCAACTTCTTTTGTTGACGATTTGCTATCAGGAATGCAGAAACACAAGAGGCATGTACCCTTGAATTGGAGAGAAATTTGAACCCCTTGATGACTGTGATTCTGATACATAATTTCCAGCTAAAAAGCCATATATCGGGCCAAACTCTATTGCATCAAAGACCCAGTTCACATTGGACAATTAGATACTTTTTTCGAAGTTTCCATTGATAGGTTTGTGAGGGGCGCCTGATTCTTTGAGTAAGCCAATAGGTTTCAGGAAGAATTTTAGCAGACATGAGATTTTATTGCACCTAACACACACCAGGAAATGGTATCATGATTCGGCTCCATACTTATTAAGGGTAAAGTGAAATTAGAAACTGTTTTTCTGAATAATATGTATTTGAATATATAATTATATATACATAAAAATAGCTTGGTAACAAACTCTTATGGCGATGTTATACAAACACAAATAAATTAAAATCCTGCGTCATCGTGAGAATAAAAACCACAAAATTATCTTGGTATATTTTTGAGTCGCTCTTATATGATTGTTTGCACTTAATGGCATCCTTGTCATATGAAAGTCTTTAATATTTCCGATTAAGAACGTAATTTGAAATATCAACGAGCACTAGACGTTATTCTATTAAAGAGCAATGTCTAGGCAATTACCATCAATCATGAAGAGTTGCTCTCCATGAAGTGCATGCGTTTTTCCATGACAAGAATTACAGAAAGTTAGGTCCCCGAGATGCAATAAAATGACGCAGGTGGAAACGGCAAGTGAGAATGGTACATCTTATAGGATAAGTTCGACGAAAGCGGTGTCCAGATCGTCTCCAATTTCCTTGTATCGTTCCTTTTCGGCGACCAGCTCGTCTGTAAAGGAATTGAATGTCCAATATTTTGTCGTTTGTCATGAAGCCGAAAATCTGGGTTATGATTCAACTTGAGGGGAATCTGTACTTACGGATTTTCTTAAAAAAGTTATGTTATCAGATAAAATCAAATTTTCCGCTTCCATGACACAGGGTGTCAAATCTTTATAGTCAACGAAAAATTGTACACCACTGGATTTTGCGAAAAATAAGTATCGCTTTCAGAGTGTCATATCGATTCTGTTTGAAAAGGGTTACGTTCGTTAAAAAAGTGTCGACTCAATTTACTATAATCTAATTTACTCCACGTCAAAGGAAAAATGAGTACCCGATCGCTGCTTCCGTCAGGTTGTCGCTGTCTGCTCAGGCATTTATGGTTCGTGTTTGTCTTGACGGGGAGTAAATGAGAGTTACACACATACACAGAATTTTTTAAGAACGAGGTTCTGTACTGGAGAAATAAAATAATTTATATTTTTAGAACGGTGTCTGAATAAAAAAAATCAGGAGTCGGTTTTAAAGTAGGATTAACCTGGCTTTAATATACTGATATCATTTTTATGCAATGCAAGAACCAGTGGGGTACCGTTTTTTTCTAAGCATAAAACTTGCTGGCATGAGAACGCCACTGATGTACCTAACACAACAATTTTGTACATTTTAATGTGGATTTTGATAAAACGAGTACCAAAACTTATCTGAATCTAAATGAAATGCAACCTATCAAAGGTGTTATGGAAATGCAACATTTCCGGACTAAACCTTTCCTTGAATCTTCCTGACAACATGATGTAACACTCTAATTATGTTAAGAGTTATGGCAATTTTCGGAACATTCCATTTTATTGTTGCAAACGGCGCCTGAATTTATACAGCAAATTCCATTTCAAGGGTAGCGGGTACTTTTTTTTGGATCATTGTCAGTCTTCAGCATCACGCACTTTCAGTACACTCAATTCAATTGATTCTACTGATTTTAAGCAATTCATTCAGACTAAAGTATAAGAATCGATTTGTTCGTCTACAAATCCTCAGTCTGTAGTCAGGATGAAAGTGCATGCTACAAGTGGATTTGACATGTAATTTTTTGACAGGTCCGTCATTAAATTCATATTTTTAGTGTTTAGTGCGTGTGTTTGCAGCTAATTGTGGTGTTAGAGGATTTCAGGATATGATACTTCCTGCATAATTTGTCGAGAGCGGCACAAACCTGATGAAAGTAGATCTTTCCAACCGGTAAGTATTGTGTTGATACACTGTCACCTTGGTAGTCAAATGATTGAAAAATATGCTCTAAAACTAAGCAATTTTGGCGACAAACAATGCAATGTAAAGATATGGGCTAGGCTCTTTCTAACCTATTCGAATTCGATTTTATTATTAGCAGAATTTCGTGCAAGTAATTTGCAACTGCTGTTATGGAATATTCCAGAAGCATGTTTAATAGAAGATAAATTAATTTTGATTGATTGTTTTAATATCCACTTTTTCTGATTGCTTATAAAATTAAAATACCGCAGCTAACATTCATATATGAAGGAAAATTCTACCCAAAAAGGTAATAAGATCTAAACTGAAGTCAGTATTGGGTCCTAAGTGTTGTCAGCAAATCGATGTCAGGTTTTAAATCGTTAATTTTTTTTGTCAACAGGTCGATGTTCTTATGTGAAAGTGACTACTACGATTTGAAGTTTCGAAATTTTATATAAAAATATATATGTGCTTTCCGACTAGACGGAGACGAAGAAACTAGTTTTCAGACTAGTCAAAAATGAAGTAGCATTATTTAAAAATTTACCTTATATTTCCAATCTTTTGTAAAGACCTGATAACAAAGAAATATCTTTGAAAATTCGTTCGACAATATCGTTTGCGTAACCCAGATTTTCTCATAACTGTAGATTGTTTTCAGTAAGGCACGCCAATCTGTTAAGTCACACTCATGCAAGGCAAAAAAAAAATAACAACGGTTAGAATTAAAAACTTTTTATAACTAAATAAAATACATGTTAGAATATAAACAGGCTTTTATAAGGCTAGAATTTCATAATTAAATAATTATAATTAATAGAAAAAAATAGAATAATGCGCTTGTGAATAAAGGAATCAGTACCTTCGTTACCGAACTATGCAAAATATTGAATTTCCAGCTGAATCCTTTACAAACAAGCCACCAAAAATTACAGGGAATTGACTAAATTCATAGTAAGTAATGTACAATATACAAAATAATTTGATAAACCTTTTAAAAAAAATACAAAAAATATTTTGGGCCGTTTTTTAAATGGCAGTGTTATTCCATTATATTGCAGCTAAACAGAGATCTTACGGACTCTCTATTTTCAGCAGGCGCAAAATACATACAACTGCCATCGCGACTTATTTTCGAAAAACTTTTCGAAAACGTTAGCAATCTGGACATTGAGCTCGTTTGTGGGAAAATACATATGGAAGACCCGAATAATGGTTTCTACAACCATTATCCCGATTTCTAATTTTTATTAATTTTAGATGGGATGACCATTGAGCTATCAAAAAGGAATGTTAGTTTATTCTTACCTACTACTACATATACTATTGCTTTATTTTAAGACTAGTATCCTCCGTTCTTAAGGTTATTGATATATCCTAAGGTCTGCAATATTTCGCAAAAGGATATCTATATTAGATAACACCTATATTTAAACTTTTGAAAAACCTTAAGAGGATTTACCTGATATAAACTATATTTTTTTGAGAACTGATATACTTAAAATACATTAAGAGTGGAATAAAAACGCATGTTCAGATTGAACATACTATGGAATGTTTGAAAATGATTCCTACAAAGAAATATTTTTATTTGCTAAACGTTGAGTAAACTAAGCTACTTGAGATAGCGATTTTATAAATGGCATTCATGATTCATAGAAAGAGGAATGTACTGTGTCAAGACTGGAATGAAAAAGGCATGAGAATATTTTCTTTGTTTTTATACAGAGAATGATTTTTGATCTACATGACTTGATAATATTGGGAAATAAGGGACAACTTTCACATTCTCATAATTCACACTCTCTTGGTTTTAAGGCAATTAACACGCTACCGACAGTCCTTCACAAAATTAATGTGACATTTTGAAAATGTCTTTGCAAAACCTACCTATTATTGAGTACACAATTTTACGTTACAAAAATATATCTAAGCTGTACAGATTAACTACGATGTTTATTTTCGAAAAGTTTTTCTTATATCAGTATAAAAAGCGCATGATTAACATGAAAAATCCCAAGCACCAGAACGTATTTTTTACAACCGATATCACGTATAAGTGGACAGTTCCTTCGCGAAAATCAAAACGGGAATGACACAATAGGCTCCGGCCTTATATCTTATTATCGCTATTCTTTTCTCTTTCACGAGCTCTCTCACAATGTGTTTTTCAAAATTGGCGTGTGGGTGTGATTTTTTTTGTGTACGTGTAGATGTGCAACGACGGACGGCGGATTTTTACATATTTTGGATATCGTGCAATGTGGCCTCCATTTCGTCGGCGAGCATTTTGTTCTTTTCTTTCTCCAGCAAAAGGTCGTCTGCAAGGCAAGGGTTATAATGCAGCAACACAACAACAGACGCAGAAAAAACAACAACGAACTAATTTTCGATTATCGAAACTTTATCAATTATCAGATTTTCAACTTTCTACCAAAAAAGGGCAGCTATTTGCAAATAAAAAAAAATGCATACATCAAGAAAAGTCGTTTATTTCCGTCAGTCTGACTATCTGCCATGTTTTCTACCACGCGTTCAGCTATCCAAGAGTCTCAACAAGGTGTTTTCAAAACATGAGGGAAAAACTCGAGACACCATTCTTTGAAAGATGCTAAAACTATTTTGCCTCTTGAAAACTAGATTAGATACGTTTTTAAGATCCAGGACAAGCAGAATTTTCAAAAATAACGATACTGCAATTTCAGAAACTGATCAAATTGTGTAGAATCATTGATTAGCATATTCTACCCGAAGACGAAGAAGAAAACTAATAGCGCCATGTATGACTCGGCAACAGTACACAAAAATGAATTTAGAAAATTACTTAGAAATCGAGTTAGTATTTGATTCTGCTGTTTCATAGATGGAGCTATGATCCTCAATAACTCTTTGACACCTCTCCAATGTGTGATGGAAAACGTTGATCAATATCTAAAAATATCCAATTACAATAGTCATTAAAGAGGCGCCAAAAAGGGATTGAAGAACCCAGCGCCATCTATGAGATAATAGCAGAACCAAAAACTATAACTATTTTCAAAGTAGATTTCTAAATTATTTTTTTTGTCTGTTATTACATAGATAGCATTAGAACCTTTCAGATCTACTTCATCTACTCAATGGTAATACGGAATATTTAATTATTTTTCTAATAAATTGCCGAACCCTGGTAATTTCGATCCTGATGTATTTGAAATGATTCGGTAATGTATGACGCGATGATTGTAATAGTGCATTAGGTAACTAAGAATTTATAAAAGTGCCCTGAACATTTCGCTATACAAAATTGACACTGTAGCATTAATACCAAATAAATCTTCAACAAACCAAAACTTTGCGAAAATTGCGCATAGTATTTTCCGAAAAATGAAATGCAATGACATTTTTTTTATAAAATCGGAGCACTGCGCCGAGACTGATTTAGAAAAGTTACGGCAGACAGATTGAACAAAATAGTCATATGGACTGGTCGATATTATGAAAATTAGTTCGTTTGTCGATGTTAGGTGTAAAAATAAACAAATAAAATAAAAATATGCTCTTTGAGATGCATAAACAATAGCAGTGTATTGTCAACACAGAAAACAAGAAAACGACGTTTTGCAGATAATACATACCTTCCAGTCTGTCGACCTCCTTCTGTAATTTCTGTACGGAACGTTCAGCAAATTCAGCTCTGGCTTCAGCCTATAAGAGAAGATAAATGCTTCGTTGAAGACTTTTGTAGCTATACTAAATTGGCAACATGTAACAAGGAGATATAAGATATAACGTAAATTTCTTGAACAGAAAATGTAAGTGTATCAACAGAGTTACCATGAGCGAGAAATTTGATTGAATTCAAGAACTAAAAAGTCTATGATTTTGGGACCAGTTCAATTAGAACTTCATTGGGCTATTTTTGTGATGGTTCTTTATAGAAAATGTTTTATTACATGTAAAAATCTTTACTATTTCGAAATCACTGAACTTTTTCTCCTTGTTACATATGCTTGAATGATCAAAGAAAAATTGGAAGCAAAAACAAAAGCAAGTAATAATATAAAACTCATTACTGCAGTGTGAGTGAAAAAATGTGGGTTAGAAAAAGCTACTGCTAAGTCAACGCAAACTAATTTAAACAATACCAGGCCTTATTTCTATAATGTGTATTGGAGGAAGGGTAATCGCAAAATAATAACATTAAGGCCCTACTGATCTCCTTGTACGTCCTCCCTCATATATCAATCAGAGTTAGATTATCAGCCAACCCAAACTGTCGAAGAAGGTGGTAATAAGGTCCACAGGAGCATCCCTTATATTATCCATAGATTTTCCAGATTTAAATATGAATTCACAGGACATTTGGACAGTCGCAAAGCAACTGCTCGAACGACTTATCTGCCTATTCTCATCTGCATAAGTATATGACTCATACTATAGGATGGTACAGTAGTGTTGTAGACAAAGAAAAGTCTTCGTCACTAGGATTGTTCAAAACCAACGAATTCAGACTAGGTTTGTCAGATTTCAGATTTGTTCGTCTTCAAAATATCAGTCCAGATTCCAGGACATAATGCTTCTTGCATAATTTGCAAAGAGCGGCACATAGTGAAGGTAAATATTTCCACTGGTAAGTGTCATTATTATGTTGATACAACGTTGTTATTTTCGTGCAGTCAAACGAGTCAAAAGTATGCACTAAAAGAACGCCATTTTCGAAACTAATAATGCATTGTAAGCATATATGCTTGACTCCAAAGATATTCGAATTCGTTATTTGGAACTCCTATGTTTCTCTGGCCACATGAAACTACATGTGTTGATTCAACCAAAAAGTGGAGTTTACCTCTCTGTACCATTTCGGGATCATATCATTTCAATTTTTGTCGGCGCTGGTATGCGATTATCACACAAAATCGAACACCTAACAAAACTGGGTTAGTGATTCAAGACAAGCTCCACACCACAATCATTGATACTTACAGGATCTATGGTGCATAAATGAAATGTTAGCAATCGAGGAAATATCTACAAATATGAAGATGATGTATGTCCATAGAATCAACAAGTGCACCTTTATACCAAAGCAATTCGGGGGTACCATCGAAGAAATAACTACCAAATCATGAAAATGTGAGGACTGTGATAAAACCATAGAAAACCAGACAAAGGAAGTGTTTTTTCAGTGAATCGCTGTTTCTTATTAAAAAACTTTAAATTGAGTCACGGAAATATTTTTAAACAAGGAACAAGTACTTCGCCAAGCACTTAAAGACAACAGTTCAATTTTGAACTGCATGTATCTCCAAAAGTTCTGATTTTAAATTTGTACTAGTGATTTCTAATAATAATAATAATAAAGTACCAAGTACAATTTGCTGGTAAGATGTAAATGCACAATAAACGTAAAAGAAAACATAACACGTGACTTTAACATAATCAATATTCAAGTTGTTTTTGATATAATTGGATAATGATACTGAACGGTATCTGACAAGAAAAAACGATTCACCTGTCAAAGGGAACATTTGTGCATTAGTGCAATGGAAATTTCTGATCCGCTAGAAGCTTATTGCCCGTGAATAAATAATTATTCCCACCACCTCTGTAAATTTAGTTGCAAATATTACAATTTCATATGTATCGCTAGATATTCAGTGAATTACTGGTGTTACAAGATTTCTGTTCTTTTCAATAGAAATATCGGTACAAGGTCGATATCGTATGATACAAGTCATTTTGTCTCTATAATTTCCCCACTATTTTTTTGCCTATTCAAATCAGATATTTAGGCGAAAAATTTGTCCTCACGACAAATTTTGGGTATTGTGAACATATCTAGAACAGCGAATTTAGGAACAATTCAACTACTTTTCAAAAGATGATAAGGAACTTTATTATGTACGAATATGGGTTCTAGTTTGTTTTTTTTGTTGAAATCGATTAGGTACTCTGAATTATCTTCAGATTATTATTACTGATATCCACTATATATTAAAAAAAGGTTCGAGTTTGCTTAAAAAATTGATCTTATTGCAAGCCATAATTTTGAAAAAAAATTCCCGGAATCAGATGTATCATAGGTAGCTTTTTTAACGACAATTTCCTAACTTTGAGATTAAAATTAAAATCGAGGCAGTTTTGCTGATGTATGGTGGGGCCCCTATGATAATTTCGGTATTAAAATCAAAATCAAGTGGCAATTTTATTTTAATTTCCGAGATCTCAAACCATATTAAATACCAAGAGTTTTTCATTTTTTAATATGAATGCAACAGATCGTACGCAGCTCGGGATTCATAATAATATGGGGTTGTCCAAAACGGACGCAGGAAAGTAAACGCATATTAAAACAAGAAAGATTGATATTCAAATCAAGTTGGGTACTTTATTTTGAAGGTTCATTTATACCATTTATGTATGAAAAATAATATCGCTCAAATGTTCACCACGACTGGATTTACAGACGTGCACGCGAAGGTCGAAATTTTGAATGACATTTTGCAACATGGTCGGTTCTATTGCATTTATCTCGGCAATGATGTTGTTTTTGAGTTCTTGGAGGGTGGCTGGTTTGTTGACGTAGACTTTGCTTTTCAAATATCCCCATAAAAAGAAGTCCAAGGGAGTCAAATCGCACGATCTTGGTGGCCATGGCACATTTCCTCTGCGCGAAATCACGCGATCACCGAAGAAGGACTGCAATCGATGGATATTGACGTTGGTTGTGTGGCATGTTGCACCGTCTTGTTGGAAACAAACATCGTCCATATCCATTCCTTCAAGTTGCGGCAAAAGATAGTCCTCTATCATCACGTGATATCGCACAGAATTGACGGTAACGGCGTCCCCGGCCGCATTTTCGAAAAAGTAAGGTCCGATGATGCCTTTTGACCACAATGCACACCACACAATCACTTTTTGAGGATGCATCGGCTGCTCTTGATACTCACGGGGCAGTTTTGCTTGTTTACCGTCCCATTCAAAGTGAAATGCGCTTCGTCGCTGAACATGATTTTTGATGAAAAATTGGCATCAATTTGGCGGTGTTCAAGGAGCCAATCTGAGAACATTCGGCCCGAAAAATGGTCTGCCCGACGCAGCTCTTGCGTCAATTGGATCTTGTAGCCGTGTACATTCAAATCCTTGTGGAGAATGCGGAGCAAACTGGTTCTCGAAATGCCCAATTCTTGGGATCGACGCGTTGTTGATTGTTTCGGATCGTCTCTCACACTCTCCTTCACAACAGCAATATTTTCCGGTGTGCGAACGCTCCTTGGCCGGCCAGAGCCTGGCAGATTTGCCACAGAACCTGTTGCCTCGAATTTACGCACCAGACGACCGATGGTTGTTTCGTTTGGGCGGTTGTTGCGACCGAAATGTTCACGAAGCGCGCGAAACGTGTTTTTTATTTTTGCACCATTTTTGTAGTGCTCTTGAATAACTTTAATGCGGTCTTCAATCGAATACGACTCCATAGCGATCAATGGTAAACATTCAACTAACAAAATGACATGTCGGTGACAGAAAACAAAGATGGCGTCTATGTCAAATTGACGTTTACTTTCCTGCGTCCCAATTATCACGTTTTATCTAATTTTATCAAGTATCGATCAATATTGCCTAAAACAACTTATAAGAATCATAATCAAGGGCACACAGTTTTGATATTCTAACACTACATTCCTACACTACAACACGCATTCTTGATAACTAATCATTCACTGTTGGCTCCAGCTCCGGTCACGCTCTAAATATCAGTGCTAGGATTATTCTTTCTAATGAAAAGAACATTTATCTCTTTTGTAACCCTTTCCCTTTACACCAAGCATCTCTAAGTAAAATACTCGATCTATCCAAGCTCACGACTTACTTCGCGCAATTTATCAGAGACGCTACGGATTACGTCTTCGCTATGCTCTCTTGTGACAGCTGCCTACGCATACAGACATATACATAGATACATTTACAGCAAAAGCTCTCTCAAGTTACAAATATAGGGAAATATGATACATAATACAGACCGATCGTTATCTTGGAGTATAGTCTGAAAAAGGTTCGACACACATCAGTGTAAATTGAAAAATAATGTCAATATTTGAAGGTGAAAAAATAGGATCTAAAATAGTTTGCGATCCTAAACACCACGAAATGTCTATCATTTGTTAAGGACGGTGATGAGATACGCAAAGGTTCTTAAAATTTGTCTCAAAACCATCATAAGCACAAGCGCCTTGATAACATTTCCCTTCTATTGTTATCAAGCTAATGATAATTGGTAATTTGCGGTGATGAATTTGAGTGGGACCGTAAAAAAATGAGGGCCTGAATTTGAATAGGAAGTCGGTTGCTTAGCTTTTAATTCGGAATCTATGCACAAAATATACCTAGCATTGGACCAGATCATAGATAAGCAGATTTTTTTTTTGAAAATCTACTCATAGTAAACCTGATAAGGTTGTAAGCTAAAATTTCTATTCTCGCCTCCTTCCCAAGCGAATGCGATTTTGTACACCGATGTGATGCAGCCTTACTTGAAGTGGGACAATTGGGATTTTGGCAAAGAATGCAAAAAAATAATTTTTTAGAATCCTCTTCACTAGCCTTTAATTTCACGATAATAAAATTCCACTTTCGTCTCTTGTTACAAGTTTCTAATTTTTCCACCAAACAACCCTGACTTAGCAGCATTGGACTTTCATCTTTTTCCAAAACTTAAAAGAATTTCTTGGTGGAAAGCGCTTAGAAAATATTTTAATTTATGATACAATTAACATCCATAAGGTTCCTTTAGACTCCATCACAAAACGGTTCTTACTTAAAAAAAATGGATCGCGTATCAGCAAAAGTCCGCTAAAAAACAACATATATTCAAACATTCAAAGTCGTATAATATGCATCTGTTAACAAATGACGGATATTACGAGGTGGATAGGATCACTAGCACGCCTTTTCACAAATAAATTAGCATTACAACTCCGCATCTGAATCAAAAAATACACCCCAAGGCATCAATCGTTCTGCATAGGCACATTTATGTGAGTCTATACTCAAGAACCTCAGACATACAAAAAACGACCAAAATACCCCAACAACAAGAATAGGAAGACCTGCGATGCTGACCACAAACATCATACAAAAGGTTCTATACAACGAGTATCTGCAACAGCCACCTAGAAGGAGTGGGGAAATGTTAAGTTTAGGGGGAATTACCTCTCGAAGTTGCTGTTCCATCTGTTTTAACGTTATCGAATATTCGTCCTCTTTGCGAGTGGCCTATGTTAGTTCCAAAAAAACAAAAGAAAATTCAAAGCATTAGATCAAAAAATAAACACCAGACATTCTGCAAGACATGTCATTCAAGTACATCCTTTTTAACAAGACAGTAAATAAGCAAAAAGCTTTGAGTATTTTGCTTCACAGTTTTTGAGTATTTTTTTAATATGCCTTATAAGAGGACTGCATGACTGACTGGCCAAATGAAGCCAAAGTGCAACTGACAATATATTTTATCGGCTGAATAGGACCATAACAAACAGTATACAACGTTGTTTGGTCTTTTTTAGCAATAATCAGTACGTTATAGGAGACAGATGACGGACTATAAGTGGCGTGTCACCTATGGGTTATTTTTTGCTCATCACAATATTGAGTTTGCTTTGTTTAGTCAATCTTAAGATTGCACCCCCACTCAAAAGACCCCTCAGTAAAAAAGCAATTTGCATATTTATGTGGTTTCCTTTGGTCAAACAATCATGGAGTCTTAAATTATTCCTCTCAAAATTTCTTTGTTAGCTTGGATGACGATTCATATTCAATTTGAAATCACCCATTGCTTGTCATGTTATATAAGTTATTTCTAGAAAAAAGGATGTACGTTTCGAATGGTTCCAGGAAAATATCAAATAAAAAACGTAGACGTCAACAAAACATGGTTAATCAGAGCAAGTTTAGAATAACACTGCTGCATTTTCTGGCTGTATACCTCCTTCAGACGTGTGGTCAGGTTCTTAATTTGGTTTTTGTACTCCTCCTCACGTTGGTTGGCCTAAACGTAGTTGGAAAAATCGTAATAAACGTTTAAAAAAATCATTAAGCGCAATGTCCTTTCATAAAAAAATATTGGTGATGGAAAACTTTTAGCACAAAAACTGTTGCTAAAATAGCAAATCACGACCACACGATCTCTGGTATGTCTCTATACTTTGATTCTGCCACGTATATGACATGACTTCGAAAACAGTTATTTTATAAAAGGACCTGCCAATACGTATTAACCACAATTCATCAGAAGAGAGACTAGACATTCCATATGCCGACAAAAGATACCACAGATCATCTTTATAAACATCCTGCCGTAGTTGATAAGTCAATATTTACACAATCAAAATATGGAAAGTGTGCATTTATCAGCTAATAAAAGCAAAGAGATAAGGCTGAATCATATACTGGTCAACAGTAGCCAGTTGTACAAGGAGACGTTGCGCCGCAATGCGCATATCATATTGTGTTCGTTCTTTCTGAAGAGGTCGTTATGGCTATGACTCACAGTTTATATTTCACAGTCTCCCTGAACTGAGAATTTAGAAACTATTATTGGAAAGGAAATAACAGAAGGGCTCTAATTCAATTCAGGTTTGTTCAAAAAGTATCGCGAATTTCATGTTTTTTCAAGAATTATTTATTTATTCATGAATATTTATTTTGTCCCCTTCAAAGTAATCCCCATCAGACTATACAACTATGTCAATACTATCGACGACTGCCTTGTCTTGCAGCAAGATATTATCACAGTGTCTTCATGGTGCCATGCCAATCATCTTAACTTAAATGTGGACAAGTGCTTTGTTGTGTCTTTCACAAGGAAATTAAACATCTTAAATTTTAACTACTTTGGACACGTTAGCCTTAAGCTTAAGAGCAAATCGATGACTTAGGAATCATATTTGATCAGAAAATGTCTTTTTCAACTCATATGTGTTTCGTCGGTTAATAGGATGTTGGGATTTATCATGAGGAACGCTAGAGAATTTTCTGTTTCAGTACTAAATATTCTATATACAGGGTGTCCCAGAAGTCGACGTCAAGCCGAAACCGGGTTATAGGCAAAGTCATAGCTATCAGAAAAATATTTAAAAAAATTTTATGTATGTGTTTTGAAAATTATAGGTCTTTGAAAAAATATAGAAATTTCACACCCTACGGCAGTCTGTCAACTCCTGTTACTACAAATATTAACTTTTTTTGGATTTTATTTTTACAATGTAATGATGAATAATGCATCTTCAAACTGGTGTCTCAACCTTACTGCCAACTTTTCTCGTTCAGGAAAAATTGCCACTTATTTCCCAACCAAGTATTCCAAAGTAAAACTTTGCTCAACTTTAACTGGCTGTACTGGAAAAAAATGTACTACGAGAGTTTGGCAAGTAACCTTAAAAGTTGGCGCATTTAATAACGATTCCAAAATGGTATAACACTTAAAAGATTACTCGTTAACTTATGCACAATTTTTATTTGAAAAAAAAACTGATGAAAATTTTTCAAAATTTCCTAATTAAACAGCGATTATGAAAACGCACAAGGACCCTTAAGGATAACTGTTTGCACAACAGTGGGCGTCAAAATGCTGCTGATGATGATTTACCTTTACAGCAAATGCTCAAACTGTTTTCCTTCAGCCGCAATACACGCTCGACATCTTTTTAAAAAAGATCGGGTTATTAAACGAGCGAATCCACGGTTATTAACAAACTCAGCTGCTTCCAATAGTCTTTGCTGTAGCTCAGCTACATTTTGAATCGGCTTGAAATACACTTTTTTTTTACAGTTCCCCAGTAAAAAAATCTAAAGGATTCAAATCAGGTGATCGGGCTGGCCACGGTATTGTACCAGACCGCCTTATCCATCTGCCTGGAAAGTTTTGATCGAGATACTCTCTCACTGAGAGTGCATAGTGCGCTGGGCAGCCATCATGCTGAAACCACATGTCCCTGTAAATACTCAGTGGCACGTCCACCAATAAATTTTGTACATGATTTTTCAAAAAATCCAAATAAACTTCAGCAGTCAGTCTCTGGGAACTCAAACGGACCGATTATTTTACCATTTAAAATTCCTGTCCAATGGTTTATCTTGAAGCGATATTGAGTTTTATCTTTTCTCATCAAATGTGGGTTTGCTACGTGCCACTCGTGTAAGTTATGCAAGTTCATGTACCCATCTTTCTTAAATGTGGTCTCATCCGACCATAAAATTTTTTCAAAGAACTGTGGATCTTTCCTGTGTCTTTCGAACATTGTGCGACAAAAAGCAACTCGGGGCTCATAATCCCGGGGCAGGAGAGGTTGAACACGCTGTATGTGGCATGGACTTCAGTCCTTGTGACTTTTTTCTCTTCCGGAAGTTGAAAAATCACCATTTTGCGCCAGTCGAAAACATTCAAATCACAGCAAAGGCTATTCCAGTATCGGAGTGGAGAGGAAGAACTGTCTCCAGTGCTGTGTGGCTTCAGAAGCAAGTTATTTTGAGGGTGGCAATATAAAAATCTGTTTCAAATTTACAGACCTCGTAGATTTTTAAAAATATTAGCAGAAAGGTATTCCCTATAAGATTTTTGCGAGGTATTTTCATGCTTACAAAACCACTAAAAATCCGCGACTCAACGAACGATTGTTTGCATTGTTCAGAAACAAAATTTAGCATCCAATGAAAGCAGCATGATTTATTTTTTAACTAGGCTTTCCTGGAAATAGTCACTAGCGAACATTCATAGTTCGCCTAGACTATATAATTTGATAAATTAATGACTATGAGTTCCGCTACTGTGTACAGATAAAAGAGAAAAGTATGAAACGCGTTTAGATAAGACAGTAGCGAATCGCAAACAGATGGTCGCGGGTAAAACCAAATATGGAGATTTCGAAAGTAGGATACTTTATTTGGAGATGTATACACTTGCGTGAGCGCGTTTGTCTAGAATATGGAATGTCAGTTTCAAAGTCTCTACATAGGAAAAAATCTGTTATATGAAATATCAGGAACGGCGATGAACATACAATTTTTTTTGTTGATATGTATGTATTTGTAAGATGCTCAGATGTCTTTAAATAATCGACCGTCATAGTTGAGGTGTCATGTATTTGAACTGACTTGATACTATTGTAAAATATTTTTATTAACTTTTCCCATATCATCCAGTATCTTTAAAAAATTCTATAATTCGTCTCAAGAATTAAACATTCAACAGTATGTCCAACGCCGTTTGTTTACCGCCATATGTAGCTAAAAAATGTTTAAGCTTCTACTCCATTTGAAATATAACTCCGTTATAAATTTCAATGAACTCAACAAAATAAATCGTAAAAGTAACAAGTGATAAACATTAAAAATCTTACCTTTTCTTCCGACACTTCAAGTGATTTCAGGTTATTACCTACGACGCGGAGTTCTTCCTCAAGTTCTACGATTTTGCTGAAAATTCAGATTAATTAGTTCTAGTATAAACATATATTATTATTAATGTTAATATATCGGATATATTGCTCCCAATAATGTCAATTAGTGCATTCAGATGTTCATTTTAAATCAAGCAATGCATTTTAGAATGACGTATTTATGAAAATATATTTACATAAAAGGCAAAAGAATAAATTAGGCGTAGCAAATCCTGGCCCTATATGCAGACGACACTGCTATAGCCGCCAAGCATAGACGACCCGAGATCATCCGTAGGAGACTACAGGATGAACTGGACCACATCCAGGACTGGTGCGTGAAATGGAAAATCCGCATCAACGTCCAGAAGACGCAGGCAATCTTCATTCAACGAAGAAGGATTGCAAGACCTCTCGAAGCATCCATCTTCGACGAAGATATCCAGTGGAGCGACAAAGTCAAATATCTGGGGATCGTATTTGACAAGTCCCTCACCTGGAAAGCCCACATAGAAGCTGTCATCGCAAAGACCAGAGCAGCCATGGCTCAACTCTACCCATTACTGGGTAGACACAGCCGGATGCCGCTAGCGACCAAGCTACGGCTGATCAAGGCCATCGCCAGACCTCAGCTCGCTTACGCCTCCGCGGGTACGCTGCCCCCAGCTACCGCAAGCGACTTGCTGCTCTAGAGATGAAGCTACTCCGGATCGCCACCAGTGCACCATCCTACGTAAGAAACTCAACCTTGCGTAGAGACCTGCATTGGGACACCATCCACGAGTACATGAGGAAAAAAGCGGAGAAGACCTTCGAGAAAGCTCAGGACCACCCGAACGAGCAGCTACGATTCCTCATGGACTACGATCCGGACGAGAGGCCTCGCAACCGCAGAACCAGGTACCCCAGACCAAGGTCCCAGTTGGCACCCGCTAACTGGAACCTTGACTAGGAGACTAGGAGAACTCGCGGTTGCCCCCCCCCCACGGCGTGGATGCAGAGGACCAGGACCAACCAGGACCAGGACCCGCCACGACCAGGACCCACCAGGACCAGGACCAGGAACAACATATTGGTAAGAGGACTTGAAACTCTTGATTTTTCGAAAACAAGTGTTTCAAGAGAACCTAGCAGACCCTCTATCGATGATCGCTTAACGACATCGATAGAATGTGCGAGGTAAAGGGAACCAACCCGGCGTTCCCAGAGACTGAAACACATGAGGAGACTTTGTAGCAGACCGCAGGTCACGCACAACACATGGCCTAACCGAGACGCTGATGAGTCTGGCCACGCGGAGGTTTAGGGTTTAGTGGGTATTAGGTGATCTCCTCAAGACCCTGGAGTCCCACACACGCCGTAGCTCGGGCTATGGTATGGTGCGTAAATGCATTCCTCCCTCACAAAAAAAAGGCGTAGCAATTGAATTGAAAGTTTTCTGTAGGGGGAGGTGGATAATGGGCAAAAGTGTACCAACTTCAAAACTCCTTGAAGAGATGCTAAAATTTTAGAAATTCAGATGAATGTTTCTTGTTTTGCGATGTCTACAATACGTAGATCCAAGGGGGACATCAATTTTGCAAACCGAGTAAATGGCAGCAGTATTGTGTAATAATTACATTAGCTTTCGGATCGTCTCAAAGTTCGTTTTAGAACTTTCAGAACATTTTTAAGGCTAATCAAACATCTCTGTGAAGAGGTTACATTTTTTAAAATTTCGAAAATTTGCTTTCATCATTTCTGATTGCATATACAAAAACATTATGGACCTCAGACATTTTGTTACTTTAGCAAAATACTTGTCATGACCCATGAAAAATTTGAAAATAGACATACGTGAATGCTTTGGAAGTACCTAGTCAATCTACTTGCCCCTATTTTTTCCGATTTCATTTTATCGAGCAATCCATAGTGGAAGAATATTTTGGTGTTTAGAAAAATTCAACCGCTGAAGACAGTACCATGCTTGATAGTTAAAGTTGCCTCATAGAAGTTCTAAAATATTTAATTACTTTCAACTTTGAAAAGCTTCTTTCAGCTGTTGCAGTTGTACTCTAGAGGGTGAAAAATAGGAAGCACTATCTCCTAGCCGTACAATCTACGAGTAAGCTTGTGAATTTTCAATTTCTTGCCTGAGATTGTGAAAAACGCAGGCATACTTTTTTCGTACGGGAGGGGTTCCATTTAATCTGGATGCCCTGTATCATTAATACGGCTGCAGCTACGCCTCTGATATAGTGGGTGCGCCATCTATTACTTTTTTTTTACCTATAAGTTTATGTGTTACCATGTGAGTCAAAAGTCATGTGGTATGCATACATGAACTGTCAAAGGTATGCCATTTATAGTAATGGATTCGTTTACAACACAACGCATTTTGGTTATCCAAACTTATTATGAAAACGGTCGAAATATAAAACATACTTTTCGCAAACTTCGCACTAGTTTTGGCAGAGATGGACGCCATACAGAGACTGGAATTCGTTGGATTGTTAATCGTGTTGAGGGAACTGGTTCAGCTGAAGGTCGTAGACCATATCAACATGCTCGTCCAGCTCGTACTCGTGAAATTATAGTCGCAGTGAGTGAAAGTGTGCAAGAAGATCCAACCACCTCGACTAGGCACCGTTCGCAACAATCGGGAATTAGTGAGACCACTTTACGCCGGATTTTACACATT